GGTTATGATTTTGAAAACGTGCATGTATACGATAAAAAATCTCAAAATTTAGCAAATATTTGAACAACTCGATAAAWGCTAAACATACCAAGCTATTCTCTTAAAGTTGTTTAGAATTTACACTACTCTTTTGATCATTTTGAAGAGTTAAAATTGGTTTCAAACGTGGAATATCCCGCATGTGTCGAGTTTTGTGCATGTGAGGTTTAACGTTTGATCCAGCTCGATGTTGTGAGCAAACAAATTAGACTAGAATTACGCGTAATGATCAGCTTGCATCCAAAATGAGACGTTCAGTCACACRAATTTCTTAATGGTGGATATCATTTAATCTCTTTTATTAGAGCGGAGTCAACTCAAAAATCATCTTTCATTTTAATTTAAAAACCAAAGTCGAAGGTGTMGTTATTAAAAAAAATGTCGGCAACAAAGTCAATATTGGGAATAAGATGAGGTTGTCKAATAATGATTTTACTTGATTTTAATAGTGAATGCTGGCTACTAGATAGACATGTGTCATCTTGAAATGAACTAATATTTTCTAAAGGAAATTTGATGTTAGTTTCTAATTCAAAAACAACATTAGGGTACCCCTTCGCTTGTCTTAGAGATAACAGGTATTTTGCGGAGGTCTTTCCCACACGTTTAGATGTCAAAATAGTAACAATTGAGAAGATATCTGAAAAAAAGAGATCCGTAACTCGAAAGATAACAAATCTTTGTACGTCATACCTCCACGAATGCTCTGCAGGGTAACACTTTGTAATATAAATACAAATGTTGTAATCACACTTCCGAATCATTTCCAAGCGTATCCATGGCGATACTGCGCGAACGGCATGCGCATTAGGCAAAGATTGTTAAAGCATGCGGCCACCTTAAGCTATATAAATCTTCGTTTCTCAGTCCCTCTAATTAGGGGATATGTGTTAGCTCTTAACTTATTACTTTGTGCACAGAGCAATTACGTACAGGTGATCACCGCAGAGAAGTTACTCAAGGCGCCTTTGGGTCGTTTATAATGGTCTGTAGAAAAACATTGCTTTTTAAATGAGCATTCGCACAAAGTTCAAGTTCGAGAGCAGTACATCTAATACACATTGTAGAATAACTTTTATATAACGTTCTCATTGATTGGTTTAAACGCAATAAACCGTGGTTCTATCAGATAATGGAAAGTTTGGCGTTCAAGCAAAGAGTTGTTACTATAAATAGAATAGTGCAATTCAAAACCTTTTCTTGCATTCTCTCGCTCAAAAAAATATTTCTCTAAAATAACTAACATGGAAGTACAAGTAAGATATAACAAATATCATCAAAAAAACGTGCGCTTTCAACTCTGTAAATCTGTAAATTCAATGTAAGTAGGATGTAAATATGCCTTAAATTGCATTTAATTTTGAACACTTACATAATATGTACGCAAAATATTTTATAGAAACTTTACACATCAGGCCCGTAGACTGCCTGGGCTCAACTTAAAGGAGCAATTTATACATAAAATACTGAGCTAAACGCTTTGACTATGATCAATGGATTTATTGCTACAGACCTGTTTTCGTATGGTTTGACCCACACTCATCAGGCAATTTACAATGAATAGATATATAATATATATATCAATGCATTTGGAACATTTTGAAATGTCTGTATCAAGCTGCAATGGCAATTTCAATTTTTTTATAATTTCATAATGTACTTTGCAAAGTACATTATGTAGTTAAATCCAACCTACAAACATGCCGTTTTTTTGTGCGTTTAATTAAGTCAAGAGTGCTTGAAAAAGTGCAAAAATCTCAAGCTAAGAATTGAAAAAAAAAAAAAAAAATTCGACCAGCCAAACATTAATGAAATTAATAGACAAAACAGGGTCGGYGAAAACTGTAAAACACTAGGGGATAACATGTAGATGACGTCACATAGCAAGGACACCGCTGATTTCTTTGCTCCCTGCTAACAGGTTTCCACAATCGACTACATCTAAGACTAACCCTAGTGAGAAACACCTGATGTTACTGTTGATAGCTTGCGTACTTTGCGTACTTTTAACTTTAAAAAGTTGTCCAAACTCMAAAATGTGAAAAACGTCAGAATTGTCGTAAAATTATTTGCGTCGGAGCCAGAAAGATGTTCGTGTAGACTTCCTTGGGTTTCAAAGTCTATCAGGTAATCGTAATGAGAGCACTGGATTGGATGATTACAGTTGAATCCCTGCTTGCGTCCATCCGTTTATTACGTGCACTTATACGAGTAGGGTTTTTTACGATAGACTTGTAGAACGCAAACACGAAGGATTTATTTTCTGAATAACACAGATTGATCCGTTTGTACCATCCCGCAGATAGCTATAATAAATTCTTAATGTTTCACAAATGTTTTGATAATGACGTCTCCCAGCACGAATTTTCAAAATTCACGAAAGAGAAGTCGACAGMTTTCCACCTTATTGTAACACGTTATAAAGGCCAGAATGTTATGTCCTTGCGAATTAAACAGACATACTTTTCTCCCCTTTGGTGGCCGGATTAATGAAGTCCCGTTTTTGTGGCTAGTGCCTCGGAACGAGGCTCAAGCCACTATGCTATCGCCTGGAAGTGCGTGCGTGTGAGTVAATGTAATTCGGGATAACCTCGGTTTTTGTTCGATGATTCGTCGTAATCCTCCGTAGCCAATCGTATATTCAAATGTATGTTAATTGGGCTTCCTGTGTAATGACGTCATTTCTGCATTCTTAACACTACTGGGTTCCCTGTCTAGTAACGTCATTATCCACCGACCCTACCCGTCCCTCGGGCATGCTTGGAAGCCCCCCTCTCTCCCCTCACTTAGTAGTCCGTCGACCTACCGAGCACTTAACGACATATTCTACGTTAACTACTCGGCTTTAGCAACAATTTATAGTAGAACATCTAAATTTTCTCATCCTTGTGGGATGCTATGAAGTCTCAGCTTACTGATCTTGGTAACCTAGCTTCGCACATGCACAACAGCACATCCAATTCATTACCAGACTCCTCAATTATCTCTTCCAAAGTCATTCGTTTCCGATGGATGTCCGGGCGTTCTCCGGATTAATATTGACAAGGAAAAATTTGCCATGTGCTCGGACTTCACTCTTTGCTCAAAAAAATCCACTTATAAAGGTGAGTTTTGATTCTTCAAGTCATGTTTTTACACTACTTTAAATCAAAAACCAGGCTCAGCTTTCTATGCCTCTATGAAGTGTTTGCTTTTAAAAGTCTTTCCAGGTTTTCTGGCGGTTNGGCCGTCTTAGCCTTCTTTTTTGGAGGTGATCCATCATCGTTAGGTGTTTCGTCCTTAGACGAAATGGATTCGTTATCACTTGAATCCTCACCATCATCTATGGCGCCTTTGCCATATTGCGATATTGAGTCCTTTAGGCCCTCAAATGAACTTTTAAGCGCTTCCGCGATTATGCCCCCTAGGGCTGAAGGGCTTAGAMCGATTCCAGAACTACCGGCTTCTTTTGGAGTGTCTTTCCCTTGTTGACYGGTTGTTGTACATGTAGTTTTGGCGGTCCTTGGTTTCGCGCCTTTATGCACAYTCGAGCCTTTTGAACTGCTCTGAGCARCTCGAGAGTCTTCATTTGTAGAGTCTTCCTTAGAAGACTTTTCTCTAACTTTTKACATAGTCAAGTCTGGCGTTTCGATCATATTTCTTTAGAAATTCAAGTATAAAATCGTTTTACGCCGAACAAACAAACGACCGCGATGGCGTCAAGCTTCGCACTGAGTTGGCGCATGCGCTTGCATTCTCATGTGATCTCGAAGCACGATAACGAGGTAGAATCCCTTCGGGGAGCTATAAAATCCTCTCGGTGAGCTATAAAATCCCCTCGGGGAGCTATGAAATCCCTCCGGGGAGCTATATTGCCCGTTCGTGAGTGCCAATTGTTCCTTCGGGAACCTATAAAATCTGTACTCCCTCGGGAGCATCAAAACAAAGCAATATTAAATCGAAGCAACTAATGGTGGGATAAATTGTTTATGTCATGTTAACTCAGAAAAGAAAACAACACATGCACTTCAATGAATACTTCAATGGAAGTTGAGCCTGGTTCAAGTAATTTTCAGGAGA